CTGTAGAGTAAAGAATTACAAGTTAAGAACGAAAGGACAAAATAATTACTTAGGTGCTTTGAGTGTGGTTCGAACCTAGAATTAAGGAGCAAACACAGCCGTCTGAGCTGCAGACGATCGAAAGATGAGCTGTATCAGAGACAGACGTCGATACATTTGATAATGGAAACTGCTGATAAGCGTGAGAAAAAGTTTATATATAAAGAAAGTGTTTGACTTTTTCGAATCCGTAAATAAGAAATAAGTTCCAGTTAAATTAATATGCTTTTGAATTTTAGTTTTGCTTCAAACATATCATTACTTGTTGTTTAACAGAATCTTGCTTTATTTCGCACTTTCCTCGACCAGAATTCATTGAATAGTCCTAATGCACAGTTTCTTTTACGCCACGTTGGCTTTCTGTTTTTTTTATATATAAACATTTTCTCACACTTATGATCAGTTTCGATTATCAAATGTATCGAGGTCTGTCTATTCATACAATGAATGTATATAGCACAACCGTGAATTCGCTGCTTCGACTTATCCTAGAATATCACACTTTCGTAGTTTCAAAGTATCACAGCATAGCACTATGACTTCCATAGTTTCACAATTTCACCATTTGAACAGATAGTGCCCATTATCATAAACATAGTTGAGGAAGAAGAGCCTCATCAAGGACTGTTTATGTATGTAGCAATTCTTTTCGTAATATAGTAGATGCGTATGTCGCGATTGACCTATAACAGAATGTTGGCAAAAGGTATTTTGGAAGCTCGAATGCAAGCTGTTCATTCTCTTCAAAATCTCTCATGACACTGCATTAACCACATCGCATAACGAATACATGACACAACCAACTGACTGGACAAAAGACTTGCAGGGACGGTTAACTAAAGAAGTCATGGCGAGGACACAAACTATTGTGCGGTATACCTTAAGAGTCCTGTCGGTTGTCGGTTGCCTCATGGTGTGCATTGAGTTATTCTTTTAGGTTTGTTGGATAAACATACTTAATATATTTGCTTCTAATGAAGGCTGCATATTAAAATACTGTTTAATGATACTAGTTAAGTTTTTTCCAAGCAATAAATTGGTAAAATAGAAGTCATGACAGATCCATAAAATTGATAAGCCTTTAGATTACACATTAGTCATTACTAAACTACTTTCTTCCTCTGTTGATATTCTGATAACAAGGCAATAAAAATGATTTCTATGACATCATACCTTCCATTTTAGATATCAATTCAAAAAAACGCGATTAATTTACTTTCATTATAAAAGAAACTAGTTCTTTAACAGACTACATCTTCTACGATTGCAGTAAGTAAGCAAGATACAGTCAGCCCTTTTTCAGATGAATCAGATCCTTTTTATTTTATTAATCAATTAGATAAACAATATCATGCAGAGAAAATGGTTTCTCTACGATAGTGATAATGGTGCATATGAACGTATGAGACTCCCGAGAGAAATTCGATATTTTGTCCCGATGACTAAGGCCGCATTGTTCAATGCAATACAACAAGCTGGCGGAAAAAACACAGTTTGCATTTACACTAGTGCCAAAACTAGTTTGGAAGACGTACAACAAATAGCTAGCTGTTGTGAAGTGCACTCAATATACGTGTGGGGTATTCCTGAAGATGTGATGCGTTTGCAATCACTTGGCAACGGAAAAGTATTTAGTCGTGAAACGGCAAATGATCGAATAGAGATTGAGTTAAATGAAACCGAACAAAAGCGATTGAAAAATGAACTAATGATGCTCAACTTTTTTCAACTACCACCATCCACTCGAGGTATACCACCACAAGAAAATTAGTCTACTTTATCTTAACAATTAAAGCCTGTCCATCAAAGACATGTCTCAGCAA